TCAGCCACTCAAACCCTGTGCAAATCTACCAAATTCATTTCTTCCATGCTAGAGAACCCACAGATGAAATCATCAGAGGTAAAATTTCTCTCCCAGTGTGTTTTACTTGCCAGTATTTTGTCAAATAGCATTCTCTCTTTTCTTACAGTCAATCACATAACCCTCTCCTTTACCCACTTTGGACTTGAAAGGAGCACGACGTGTACGCGAGACTTCCTAGAAATTTTGGACGGCCGTTACGACGACGCGCCCCTCCGAGGTACTGCGGCATTCACTCAGTCACATCTGTGGCCTTGGCTGTGTTTCATTTATATTCATACATATGCGTATGCTGTCATTCAAGGTTAGAATGTTTCCAATAATCACAGAGCACAGCATAAGCCAAATAAAGAATATTAGGGGGTAAGAAAGCAGGATGTAATGTGAGATTCAAGAAACTCAGTTGGTTCACATGCAAGGACGTGAATAGTTTGTTTGTTTTTAATTTAAAAGTTGCAACCGCTTTAGATGGCAGTGAAATAAAATCTACCCCAGCTTTCCATAGCATTCTGTAAGAAATTTCTTATTACTATTTGACCACAGCTCTTATATTCAAATTGAGCATTTTTTTCTGGTTTTGTCCTCAGTGAAAGCAAAAAATATATATGTATATGCATATATATATATTCATAAATGTATATATATATGTATGTGTGTGTGTGTGTGTGTGTGTGTATTTATATATATATAAATACTCTGGATTTTGATTTGTAAGACATCCTAGTAAGACTAAACATTGCTGCTATCTAGTTTCTGAACTGTCCTCAAGCAAAATAATCTCAGGTTATTTAAACTTTCGCCATGAGAAGCTTATATTTGGGCGTCTCTTCCTGTGCTGGAAGACCAACTCCCTCAGAAGAGGGACTTCATTCTGCTCATCACTTTACTCACAGGTCAGCGCCTGCAGCGGGAGTGGGCGCTCAGTGAATACTCTGCCCTGCGCGCACTTCTGGCTGTATTGCTTGTGATTTTCACCTGTAAGCATTTGACCACGGATGAGGACGTATTATTTAGCAGACATGTATATAGAACTCACCTTACACTGACTCCTAGTGTAAGAACTTACAGTAACTCAGTTAATACTCATACTCTTATGATATAGCTTTCATAGTTAACAATATTCTCTCTTCTCGAGTGAGGAAACTGAGGCACAGAGTACTTAAGTAACTGGCCCAGGTCACGTAGCTAGGAAATAGAAGAGCTAGGAGTTGAATCCAGGTATCTGCTATAAAATTTTGCTTTTAAGTATTAGTGCATTTATTTGTGCAGGTTCCTACTGTGCTAGAGATTTTAGCATTAGTTATACTTGGACCCAGGTCATCTACATTTTTCTTATCTCCCCCTAATGTTCTTCATCATGTTTATAAATCATCTCTCCTGTGCTTGTATTTGTAGTTTATTTTAAATCCTCAGGCATTGTTTCAAACACTGACCCTGATTTAAATGTTTCTCTTAATAGCGATTTCTTGTTTGCATTGATCGCTTGTGGTACGGGCTGATTAGAGCAGTGGCTGATGCCATGTCACCGTTCATTCTCCTCATCATTATTTTCATTCTTTAGGCCGCTACTGTGGCACCACCATGCCTCATCCCATCACCTCCTTTAGCGATGCTCTGACACTGAGGTTCGTCTCTGATTCTGGAGTGAATTCCGATGGTTTCCACGCTACGTATGCCGCGTCATCCTCAGGTAAGACATGTTAGCAGATGGCACTGCTAGGTTAAGAGGAACGCGCTCAGAATCCTTGGTATGCTATTTGGGAATCTTTTACAGTTGGAAGCTAGTTTCCTGAGATCGCCTCTGAGACTAGCCTTACCTTCTTCCAAATTAGGTTCATGTACTTGTAAATTCCAGCACTAGTGAACTCTGTGTCACGTTGTCTCTATCCATTCATCCGCCTATGGACACTTAGCGTGTGTCCCTACCTTGGCTGTTGTAACTAATGCTGCTAATAGTGAACTCTGGAAGTGGAAAGAATTGGTTGGAATGATCTTGGATGACTTGCTGGCAGTGTGTTGGTGTTCTCCTCCATGACAAGTCCGTTAAAGCAGCCCCTGATCGACGAAGTTCAATGACATCTGTTATGGACAGACAACCTCTGTTCTTGTCTCCCTGGCCTCGAAATTGGACTCAGGCAGGATCTGGAGGGATGGTGGCACGTGGGTAGAAGCAGAAAGAGGAGCCGCCTGGTACTGGGTCTCTTAGCCAGGAGAGTGCTGTTTGTCAGCTGCCAGCTTCCTCCTTATCAGCACTGAAAAGCCATAGAACACCTAGAAGAACCTAGAAGATGTGTGTGTGGGTTCGCGGTCTCCTGAGAGCGAGAGGCTTGAATGCTGCCTTCCCTTCTAGGCCAGGGTTGAAAATCATCCTGGTCAGAAATACCGAGAGGATTAAAACAAGTCTTTTATACGTGAAGTTAGAGTTCACAGGGAGGAAAGGCTCTTGGAAAAGAATCTACAGAGATTTCGTCTAATGCACCATACTCAGTGGCTTTTATTTTTCAGTTTTCAAAATCTTTTTCTTATTTTATATGACATAGATTTTTGTTTTAATGTGAAATGGAAATAGGGTATTTTTTGATGCCACGACAACTCCTGTACTGCCCTTTCTCCTTTGTCTTACAGTGTCTTGTATTTAATCTTTGCTCTGGCACTCACTTTGTTTCTCTTTTCTTCCAGCTTGTGGTGGAAGCTTCCACATGGCTGAAGGCATCTTCAACAGCCCCGGCTACCCGGAAATTTATCCCTCTAATGTGGAATGTGTCTGGAACATTGTCAGTTCCCCTGGCAACCGGCTCCAGCTGTCTTTTATGTAAACTCTTTTTTATGGTGTATTGTTTCAGTGAATCTGCAGGAAGGAAGCACTATTACTAATAGGAAGGACAACATATGTGTCCAAGCAACTGTTAGAAAATACGGTGGGAACGTTAGGAAGTCTGTTACCAAATTTCCTCTATCTTAGTCATAGTTTGGGCTATAAATAGCATTAAAATTCTCTTGAGAATGGTTCTAGAATCCTGCCTGGTATTACCAGAAATGCATGCCTGAGCATTAACTCGTGGACTGTTCATTTTTAGAGAACAGTAATTTCGTCTTTTTAAAAAAAATTAGAAACATTTAGATCCTTCCAGAGAATAGTAACTCTTTCTTCCAGCAGAGATCCCATCTCAGTTACACTTTCTTGCCTACATACCATATCCTCCCGGCGCCCTTTCCTTCCATTCCTACCAGAAAGATGACTGGGTAAGTTTTTTTTAGGAACACAGTGGTTGATTTGTAAAATCACTTTCACATTCCTGACTGAACTATAAGATTTTTTTGAATCTGAATTATGGGTGTGAAATTAACTATAGGGCTCCACCACATTCTGAGTCATCTTAGATTAAGTTAAACAGCAATAATGTATTTTCCAGAAGTAGATGGTAAAAGCACAAGGTAAGTGAAATGGGACTTTTCAATCATCAGTAGAGAGGTACCTGTGGCATGCCACATGCTGGTAATAGACGCTTCATAAGTATTGAATGATAAGACTTTGGGGTTTAAATTGATATTTTATATTAGAAGTTGTTTATTACACTCTATTATATATGGTTGGGCTTTGGTTGGGATTGCCGATTCTGTTTCTGATGGGACTAGAATAAGTTACTTATTGTTGAGAGAAGAGGGTTGTTTTGAGGTCTCTCAGCCTATATACCCAAAAAGCCTTCTCCTTCTCCTTGACATGTCATTCAGTGCATCAAGACGGGGTTAAAAAATGAGAGAGCAGACCTATTTGTGGACTGCATTCAGACATCTCAAGTTGCTTTCTTTCAGTCCATCAATCAGAAAAGGGCCTCTCCAGGGTACAAGTGGCATTGTGTTAAAACAAAAGTACCCTCTGAGTGCCTGAAAGGCAGTGCAAGTTTAAATTGCTACATCCGAAAGAGGTTTTTGTTTGCTTTTGTCTCTACTAAAAGCACAAAGTTCCATATGGGAAGAAATATATATACATATAATTTTTCCCTGATATATACGTATTCCTTTATACGACATATATTTATCAAGCCCCTACTACGTGCTAGGCACATAGTCAGTTCATGTTACTGCCATGCTAGATGCTTTGTAATGATCAATATAATGATGACTAAAACATGGTCATTATCCTTATAGTAAAGTCCAAAGTCCTTCACATGGCTTAGCAGGCCTCTTGATTACCTAATAAAAGGGCTTCTTTTTGTTTTTTTTTTCCTATTGTTCTCTACCACATTCGTATTGCTGATCAATCTGACATTCAGCAGTTGCCAGGAACTGGGCCAGGCACTGGGAATATCTAAGACAGAAACGATCCCATTTCTTAATTAGTTACTAATAAATTAATGTCAAGAAACTATTTATTTAAAACCTAAAGAGACTAATTTCATCTATAGTGGATAATCATATACATACATATAGGGCCACTGTTGAGATTAAAGATGTCAAATTTAAAATGTATAGTATAAGGCTGACGCATCCCAGATGTTCAATGAGTGTTAAATTCTCTCATTTTACCATTTCTAAAGTATCTTGTGTGGCAGTTCACCATTAAATTCAACATTGTCTCTCCTTCTAGAAGATGGGAGATAAACATAAAAAGCAAGTTTCATCCATTTTACTGTTTTAAGGACACTAAAATCCTCATTTTTGTAAAGACAAATGTTAGTGACTCAACTTTTTCCTTTCTCAGCCATACGAAGTTAATTTTGATTATTTTGTTACTTGCTTGAGTTTTATTTTCAAAATAAATTTTGCCGAATGCAAGATGTTCCTCTTTATGTGGATGATGAGAAGGGCTCTATAGCAAAGCCTGCGAGTTATTTCTGCCCTGGTCTAAACTGGATCCAGATGGGTGCTTGGAAACGCTCCTCTAGGGTGTGTGAGAAGCAGATTGGAAGCATATGGAACACGTCAAGTTCTAAAACGCAGGGTTTGGGTGGTGGACACGGTGGTGAAATTGAGTAGGGAGAGAAATGGGAGAGATTGTGGTTGAATCTGCAACGAAAGGAGGAGGGAGAAACAAACACTAAAAAGGAGTTTTTTGTAAAGGAATTAGCAAAAACTATATTTTATGCTTGCAGAGCGCTTTTCTAAAGCGCTTGATCTTGGTTCAAGAATCAAAATGAGATAATGAGAAACAGAGATTGTACTATTCTTGTTCCACGTCGTATTTTTACTAACAGATCTTAGCCAAAGTGTTTGGAAAGAGGGGGGATTTGCTTCCAAAATGTATCAACCTAAGACAAAGACTTCCAGGAACAGTAAGCTTTTAAAAAAGTTTAATTTGATTCTTATAGTATCATCCTACCATCATTAATAAAACATCTTTTCTGCCATTTTGCACTACTAGATCATACCAGTCTGGTACTAAAACAGAAAAGACCTGTGCTTAGTAATCTTCTGGACTATTGGACCAAACTTTAGTGTGCATACTGAAAACCTGAGATCTTGCTAAAATCCACAGTCTGGCTCAGCCAGTCGGTGGGGCCCGACTCTCCATTTCACACAGGTTCTCGGTGATGCTGCGCTTTGAGTAGAAAGGTTTTAGGGGCAATTTTATGTAAATCAGCCACTGATGAAAATTATCTCCCTTTCTCTTTTTCTTCTGATAAGCAGAGGAAGACAATTTTAGCATATTTCACAGTGCTGATACTATTATGGGCAATAAAACCGAGCCTGAATTTAAGCACCAACCATCCTAAAGATGGATTCAGAACAATTCTTGGCCCAAAATGATTGTAGGTATAAATTTTGTGTTACAAAAAAATCAAATTGTTAAGGAAGACAGTGGGCCTAAAGATAAATGGATAGTACGTTATCTCCTGATTTCTTCTGCTACTCACTTGTCAGAGCTTGCTGACAGAACTATGTCCAAAAAGTGGATCCACAATATCTAAACTGTAGTAACCCACCTTGTTAGAATTGTGAGAGCCACTTATCATTAGTTTAGCTAGAGACCCGCTGATGCCAGTATCTAGCTTGAGAAGCGGATGGTAGAGCAAAGCTGACTAGTTTGCTCCAGTGCTCTGGTGGGCAGTGAATGCTCGGAGGTGTGTGTGCCTGATACTCTGATTCCACAGTGGGGCCTGAGGTGGCCAGTACCTCCAAGCTTGTTGTCCCTACCCAAAGCGTCTTAATCCATTACCTGAGATAGAGCCCCAGGAGAGCTGAACATCGTGTGAAATATCGCCGTCCATGATGTTGAGCATTGACTGATAGGTATACACAGTAGAAAAGTACATTTTCCATTCTCGAGACATTTTTTTTCCCTTCCCAACAGTTTCTTTTTTATAGTCTCACTAGATTCTTTCTTCTCTTTATCTTGTCCTTCTTCTCAGCAAAAATTCCCTCTAATTACTTCTGAAAAAAGAATAGTTTGCACTCACTTCCTTTAGCTTTTTAAAATTATTACATTACTTTTTTCTTTAAAAATTAATTTTAATTAAATAAAATGTCATAGGGCAGCAAAAGTCTCCCGTACACATCCCTTTACCTACTTGTCACAGAGGTTACCCATATTTTGAATTTTTATGTCCCTTCCATGCATGTTTTTATATTTTTATTATATATATACACATATATAGTATATATACATCTATATGTATAGTATGTATATCCATTCACATTACCTGGTATTGCTTTCTGCTTTACACTTTGCATAAATGGAATCTTACTTATTTTACTGGAATTACATTGAATTTATAGATTCATTTTGGGAGAATTTTTATTGACTCTTTGTATTCTTAAACTTGGAGTATGTCTCCATTTATTTGTCTTCTTTTATGTCCTTCACTAAAATTTCACATTTTTTTCCATAAAAGTCTTATAGATATTTGACTTAAACTTTTTCTTTCTTTGAACTAACTTTACCGATTTTGCTCTCAAGATTATACTAACATCATTAAATAAGTTGGAGGCTGTCCTTTCTTTTCTATTCTTTGTTACAGTTTGTATAAGAATAGGATTGAGGAGGTATTGATTTATTGAAGTTTTGGTAGTTTCTCTATAAAATAATCTGGACTCAAGTATTTGTTTTGTTTTGTCGCTAGGCAATTTTTAATACTGACTTTTATTGATTAAATGGTCTTCTTAGGTGTTTTTGTTTTTGTTTTTGTTGTTGTTTGACTGATTATATTGTATTTTTGTAAAAAAATATTTAAGATGTCAGATTTATTAGCATAATGTTAATAACCTTCTTTATAATTTTAAGAATTTTTAGTGTCTTTAATATGTCCTCTTGTTATTAGTAACATTTCCCATTTAAACTTTCTTTTATTCTCCATCAGTCTTATTAGAGGTTTATACTGTATTAGTCTTGTCAAAATATAGCTTTTGATTTTTTTATCTTTACAATATTTTCTACATTTCTATTTTATTCATTTACAATATTGTCTTATTTCTTCTATTTGTCATTTTTTTTCTGCTTTGTTTTTATCACTTCTGAGATGAGACCCCCTAGTTCATTTTTCTTAATATTTGTTCTTTTCTACTATAGGCACTTAAGGCTATAAATTTCCTCTAAATATTGCTTTGACTACACCCCATAAGTTTTAATACATAATGTTTTCATTTTCATTCAGCCCTAAATATATTCTAATTTCCATCATGATTTCTTGTTTAACGCATGGTTTATATAGAAAGATGTTTTATGTTTCCAAATTATGGAAACTTTTGGTTATCTCTTTGTTAGTGCTATGTTTTAATTTTATTCTATAATGGTCAGAGAACATGGTTTTTAATAGTTTTAATATATTCTGACACTTGTGATTTGTGGTTAACTGTACTGATACATTTTTATGCATGTTAATGGGCACATAAAAAGAATAATTGAAGTGAATTTATAAATTCTGATTGTTGTTGGATGTTATAGCAATCTTGTTATTGTTTTGTTGCTGTTGTTGTAATCCACCATCTTATGGAAATCACTCTCTTTAATATATGTGAAGAAGAATTCTATAGTTGATTCTATGAAACTGTGTCTTTAAAGATTACTGATTTATTTTTAGGAACCAAATCTTATAGCCTATTCATACTCTTAGATCTTTGCCTTGTTTGACCTTCTCATTCTTCACCTAATTTTCCCTTGGCTCCTGTGACATGACATTGCATTTGCTTTTATTCTACTTTTCAGATCACTCCTGTGTCTATTGTTTCCTCTTCCTTTCACTATACTCAAAATATGGGTGTTCCCTAAGCTTCTGCTCTCATTCCTGACCTCTCTTTCTCTCTACTTATTAATCCCCAGTTTTCCATTTCTAAACCCCCAATCTAGTCATGCTTTCAGCTATTATTGTATACATACAGTTTATTTCCAAGTACAGCCCCACAGTCTCTTCTGAAGTCCAAACCTGCATACGATCTCCAATAGATAGCCCCATGTGAGTGATAAACCATTCTATTAGATTTAATATAGCAAAAAACAAAAAAATATTTTTCTGCTGCCCACAGTCATTACTATTACATGTTACTGCAAGATAATATTCTCAAGAGGAGCTCTGATCATCAAATTTTACCACTCAAAATTTCTCAGTTTTTTAATATAATGAAATATACTTAACATAAAAACCAGGATTTTACCCATTTTTATGTGTACAATTCAGTGGCATTACATGCATTCACAATTTTCTGTAGCCATCACTACTATCCATTCCCAGTACTTTTCCATCCTACCGATCAGAACTGTAACCACGAAATAACAGCTCCCCGCCCCTCTGCTCCTGGCCCCTGGCAGCTTCTATTCTACTTTCTGTCCTTACGAATTTCCCAGTCCCAGCTGTCTCATGTAATCAGAAGCATACGATCTGTGCTCTTTTGTGCTTAGCTTATTTCACTTAGCATAATTTGATCCGTGTAGTAACAAACATCAGAATTTCATTCTTTTTTAAGGCTGAATAATATTCTAAAGAATGTGCGTATGTATAAAATGTGGTATTATATATACAGTTGTATATGTATTTATGTATATTGTTTTGTTTATCAAACAAGTTATACAGATATAACTACATACATAGTTTTGTTTATGTTATATATAGTTATACATAGTTTTATTTGTTTATATATAGTTATATACCTTTATATATTTTTTAAATATATCCTTTGGGTATATTTAGTTTTATACCCTTTGTGTATATACCTAGAAGTGGACTACGTTCAACTTTTTGAGGAACTGCCAAATTGTTTTCCACAGTGGCTGCTCCATTTTGTATTTTCACCAGCAATGCTCAAGAATCCTAGTTTCTTCACATTGTTGTCAATACTCGTTATTGTCCAAATTTTAATAATAGCCATCCTAATGGGTATGAAGTGCTAGCTCGTTGTGGTTTCGATTTGCATTTCTTTCATAACTAATGATGATGAATATCTTTTCATGTTCTTACTGGCCACTCCTATATCTTCTTTGGAGAAATGTCTATTCAGTTCCTTTGCAATTTTTCAATTGAGTTATTTGTCTTCTTAGTTTTGAGTGGCAAGAGTTCTGTTATATTCAGGATACTAGCATAGCATGTGTTTTAATTTCTATTGAGCAAATATCTAGGAGTGGAATTTCTGGAGCATTAATTGGCTGTTTTTATAAGAAACTGCCAAATAATTATTCCAAGTGGTTGTATTAATATACATTCCTACCAGAAATATATGAGACTTGTAGTTGCTCTGCATACTTAGCAATTTTTGATCTTGTCAGTCTCTCTCTTTTTTTTTTTTTTAGCTATTCTGATATGGGTATGAAATAGCATCTTATTGTGACAGTATTACTTATTGTGATATTACAGTTAATATTATAATATTAATTTACATTGCTCTGATGACTAACGATGTAATGTACTTTTCATATTCTCTCATCTTTTTTTTGAAGTGTACATTCAAGCTGTTTGTTTTTTCATTGTTTATTTGTAGAAATTCCCTTTTATATTCAAGATCTGAGTCCTTTGTCAGATATATGTTTTGCCATGATTTCTCCTTTCCCCACCCAAAGTCTGTGACCTGCCTATTCATTTTTTATTCATATATTTATAGAAGAAATTTTTATTTTTTATTTTTAATGAAGTCAGATTTATTAATTTCTTAATTATATTTAGTGCCTTTTGCATTCTAAGAAATATTTGCCTATCCCAAGGTTATAAAGATATTCTTCTATATTTTCTTCTAGGAATATATATGGTTCTAGGTTTTATGGTTTTATCTATGAGAAATATTAAATTAGTGTCTGTGTATGGAGAGAGGCAGGGGTTGAGGTCCTTTTTCTTCTCCTCATAAAGATATCCAGTTACTGCAGTTCTCCTTATTAAAACAACTTTCTTTTCCCCATTGAATTGTCTTGACACTGTGGATTGGGTGGTATTGGCTCTATATTTGTTGATTTTTCTCTGAATTTTCTTTTCTGTCATTCTTCTGTCTACCCTTACACTAGTACCACACTGTCTTGACTATATCTAAGTTTTTTAAGCATTAAAGCCAAGTTTTGAAAGCATTCATTTAGCACCTATGTGTTACAGACTCTTTATATACATTACTAATGACCATTATATGAGGTAGATATTATTTCCTACCCTCCATTCCCTAATTTCATCATAATTGCAGAATATAATACGAGTTGAATAGGACATGCTTGAACACTAGCCCGTGTTATTACAGAAGCCATATTTTTTCTACTTTTCCAGAAATTAAGTGTATGTACTTTTGACTGGCATTTAAGCTCTGCCAAAATTAGCCCATCATACTGCTCCAGCTATGTCTCCTAACCTCTTCTTATAAGTATTCAAAGTTCTAACCAAATTAGACTTCTTGCAGATTTCTAAATATACCCCACCTTTTTCTTCATATGTGCTATTGCTGGCGCACATTCTCTGCCCACCATTTCTGTACCTAAATTCAGCTAATGTTTCCATCTCAAAAAGACCTCTCCACCATACTATTACTGAGCCCCACAATCAGATATGGTACCTCTGCCTCAAAATTCCTACGCCAAAATTCTTGATAGCTCTAATGGCACTTAGGATAGTCTGACTCATAATATATATTTTTTTCTGTATTCTTGACCAATTTCTTTCCCCTAGAAAGAAAACTTGAAGGGAATGTATTCATTGTCTTTATATCTCTTGACTATGTATTTTAACAAATCTGAGTGATGGAAATTGGTTAGTTACCTAAAAATATTGTGATTAAATATAAAGAAAGTTTAAAAAAAAAAAAAAAAAAGAACAGATTAACCCAGCATGTGGTTCAGGATAATCCCTAAGTTTATTCTGCCCATTTAATTCCCCTAAATATTCCTTTTTATTTATTCATTTATTTTTGTTTCAAATCAGAACTTTCCAGTTGGAGGATTCTCAGGACTGTAGCAGAGACTTTGTGGAGATCCGGGAAGGAAACACCACGGGTCACCTAGTGGGACGATACTGTGGAAATGTCCTCCCCCTCAATTATTCATCCATTGCTGGGCATGCCCTGTGGATCAGATTTGTCTCCGATGGCTCAGGCAGTGGCGTCGGCTTCCAGGCCACATTTACTATCAGTAAGTTGGTTCTGTTTTAGCGATGGCTTCCAGAATGAGTCCTACAAACTAGAAAGAATAACACTGTTTTGCCCTAAGAACAGCCCTGAACTCTACACTGTTCTGTATTTATGGTCTTTGTGGAGTTACTTCATTATATGTTTGAAAAACTAAATTGTATACGAATGGCCCATCAAGAGCCAGAGAGAAGGCTCAAGGGTTCTAATATTTGTCTTAAGCTCTACTTCTAGCTAATTGTTAAATTAAACGTTGTGTGTGTGTGTGATGTTGTCTTAAAGAGTCTTTGAAGGTATTATAGTTCAGGTTTGGTATATTTCTATGGAATGTGTTTCATTTGAACCCATAAACTTTATATTCTTTAAATTAAAAACATTCGGTATTACTTTGGGATTGACTTAAGTGCTCAGATATTATAACAACAGAGTGTTCCAATAGTATAAAATGTTAAATATTTTTATTTTCTAACTGGACTTTTCCATAGTTAGCTATTGTATATGTGGCACCCAAATGTCAGTTTCTCTTATCTGACACAATTTTTAAAAACATGTTTTGTTCTTTTGTAAGACAAAGTAAATTAGGTAAACCAAAATTAGAAAATGGAGCTGGTAACTCCTCCTCTCCCCTATCCCATGTCCCCAAGTCCCTTAGGGTCTGGGAACCAACCTTTTTTCAAATGAGAAGTTATTGTCTCTTTTCACTCCATGCAACCTCTTAAGGAGATGGAATTCCATTCACAAAATCACCCTTCTCCATGAATTAATAGATAGCACAGAAACCAAAAGGGAAGCAGTATTTCTTTCCATGCTCAGAAAAGAAATCATAGTCAATTAAAAGTCCATCCTTTTCATCGCTCCTTGCCTTTGTGTCTTTCATTTGATTAAAGAGCTGTTCTAAGTAGGTCTGATTTACTACTCTGTTTTTCCTCCTAGTATTTGGCAATGACAATATTGTGGGAACTCATGGGAAAGTTGCCTCTCCCTTATGGCCTGGAAATTACCCCCACAACTCAGATTACCAATGGATAGTAAACGTGAATGACTCTCAAGTTATCCATGGTAGAATCTTGGAGATAGACATTGAATTAACGCAAAACTGCTATTATGACAAATTAAGGGTGAGTTTCCAAGTACAATCGCTGTTTATAACTTTTGGTGAATTGCTATTGGCAAAAATAAATTCAAGTTAATGTCTATTCAGGTATTTGCAAATCACATGGGATGGTCTGCCTTAAATCATAATTACCCCCTCTAGATTACCTGTACAAAGGTAATTCTGATATTATATTTATTTGTATCTAAGGTTTAAGATATTTTTAGCACTATTGTAATTTGTCTCTTGGGCTTTGTCTAAGCATGTATGTATATCTTAATTATTTATTCTATTTTATATCCCACTATTCTCTTTATTCTCATGTTAGAGTATTAAAATTCGAAGGATTTTTAAAAAATAAATAAAAATATAAAAATTGTGGTGATCAGCGCTATTCAGACATAGATTACTGAATTAATTTCAGAAACATTATCAGAATTTTCCCCTAGCTTTATTGAGGCATATTTGACAAATAAATGTTGTATATACTGAAGATATATAACTTAATGTTTTGATATACATATACAGTGTGAAATAAGCACAATAATCAAGCTAATTAACATATCCATCACCTCACATGGTTATCATTTTGTGTGTGTGTGCATGCGTGTGTGTGTTTGGCATGGTGAGAATACTTAAGATCTACCCTCTTAGCAAATTTCAAGTATATAATGTAATACAGTGTTGTTCACAAAAGTCACACTGCTATAGATTAGATCTCTAGAATTATTCATCTTGCTTAAGTGGAAGTTTGTACCCTTTTACCAACATCCCCCTGTTCTCCTCTCCCCACGTCCTCTGGCAACCACCATTCTACTCTCAGCTTCTATAAGATTGACTATTTTACTATCAGATTATTATTATTATTATTATTATTATTTATTATTTATTTTTTTTACTTTGATTATCTGGCACACCACAGAATTCTTGAAGGCAGCGATTCCATCCTATTCATGCTAGTTTCGCGATGCCTTGCACAGAACTCAGTACCTGACAAATGCTCAGTACGTGTGAAAATAGTTATTACATCATTTGAAAAACTGACCTTATATAGTAGCATCAGTAGAGAAATTTATAATCACAATTATAATGACTTTGTTCCAAATTATTTTAGGAGAAGACGATGGGAAAAATAGGAGATGTGGTTGGATAGCATCCATCCACATGTGCAGAAAAACAATGCGCCCCATGCTATGTGTTTGGGAACTATCATAAAATATATCTCTAACTAGGTAATTTAATATTTTGAACCAAATAAAAAAGATTTATCGAGTGCTCTCAAGGGGCGCCGAGCCATTGCAAACTATGCATCTGTACTTCTGAGTCGTGTGAACTCCTTTAGGACACCTGTCTGCTTCCTCTCGTCAAACCTTTCCTCTCGTTTTTTTCCCTTTCTTCTGATTCCTCCTTTCTGATTCCTCCAAAAACAGCATGACTGCTGTTTTTGTGTAACTATCCTGGTTCCTACTTTTCCATGCCCAAATTTTATTATAAATCATATAATGAGCTATATCACATGGAGTGTTTATTAATATAATTCTGCAACAAAGATAGAATAATTTTAAAACTCGTTAAATTATTGCAATCCTACTATATATTTAATGACAATTTTTATTTTAACTGGTATATGTTTACTCATATATTATCTATTCATTACGATAAAATTATAATAACATAAGACATTCTTTTATATTTTAATGAAGGAAAATAGAGGTAATTACCTACATCCAATGTTCTTTTATCTTTTTTTTTTACATGCAGATTTATGATGGGCTTGGCATTCATTCCCGCCTGATTGGGACTTACTGTGGTACCCAGACTGCATCTTTTAGCTCCACTAGAAATTCTTTGACATTTCAGTTTTCTTCTGACTCTTCAATCTCAGGGAAAGGATTCCTTCTGGAGTGGTTTGCAATGGATACCTCTGTTGGAGCTTTACCCACCATTGCTACAGGTATGTTTGGTAATAAAGGAGATTCTTTTTAGGGGCTGATATGTGTAGGTCAATATTTCAAAGGGTCCTACCCTAATAGGAGCCAAATATACAAATGAGTAAGAAGAATAACTTTCTCCATATGTTCAGGTGTTCTTTTACTTTCATAAATGCAAGTTTAAAAAATTGCATGTTTCTAAATAATTCTAGTTTCTCATTATATTTTTCATATTAATTAGGGGTTTGATGTCCATAAGATATTCTACTTATAATTTCCAGAGGTCACTTTAGAGATCTCTGAAAATTTGGCAAATACCACACACACACACACACATACACACACACACACACACACACACACACACTTGTTAAGGATTCACTAATAGAAGTAACTACTTTCCCTCTATTTTTTATTTTAAATTTTGCCTTCAGAAATGCTTCAATTTTTCCTTAGCTGGTTGTTAACCTTCAGGTTTCAAGGTAAAATTAGCATTAACTTTAAGCTTTTATATTACTTTTTTAAAGACATCCTTAGTTACCTCAATAAGCAGTGTTGTGGGGGAACTGTGCTTTTTCCTTGAAATATTGTTTAAGCAACTTTGAAAGGCATATATAGATTTGAGGGTTGACATAGAAAAAAATCAGCAAATATTTCTTGGAGGATATTCTTCATTCTTGAAATATTTGATTGGGATACATTATCATCGGATCTCACTGGAATTTTCAAACTGTTCTGTGAACTTGTTCTAGAAGTAAACAGACCCCAAAAGATTAGAGAACAATGAGCCTAATGTGGACTAGTCACCCAAAGGATGCTAAACATGTCAAGTAGGGACCCTTATGCATTGCCAATAGGAATATATAAAAAATTTTACATGGACATTTATAGAAACATTAATCATACTAGTGTCAAAGGGGGACGCAACCCAAATGTCAAGCCGCTGATGGATGGAAAAACTAAATGTGGTATATTCATGCCGTGGAATGCTGTTTAGCCTTAAAATGAAGGAAATGCTGATATGGGCTAGAATATCGATGAACCTTAAAGCATTGTGCTAAGTGAATGAAGCCAGTTGCAAAAGACTACATATTACATGATTATATTTACATGAGATGCCCCGAATAGGCAAATCCATAGAGATGGAAAGTAGATTTGTGATTTCCACAGACTGATGGAGTGGGAAATAGAGAATCAGTTGTAATGGGCCTGGAGTTTCTTTTTGGACTGGTGAAAATGTTCTAAAGTTAGATAGCAGTGATGGCTGTAGAACTTTAGAATATACTAAAAACCACTGAATTGTGCAATTTAAAAGGGTAAATTTTATGGTGTGTGAATAATAGCTTAATAAAGCTGTTATTTTCTAAAAAACAATAAAAAGTAATAAAAGGCTGTTGTTATTATAAGGTCATGTGCTTTTTTGAATATTTCAGTTTACCAAATTGAAAATTATTTCAGAATTGCCTAGATATAAACTACATGATGACTAGCTATACTAAAAAGGTAAAGATTAAAATACATAGGAAAGATGAACAGAGTTCTACCTAGATGATAATAGTAGTAATAATAATAGGGTCTTCCATGTGGACAAACTTCGTGATGAACAAATAATAGGCACGCGTTAATGAATGGGTTGTGTGGCAAAATTATGGTCAAAAAGTAGAATATGATGTATTTTTCTTTACCAAAAATAAATGACATCAATCACAGCTGAATCAATGGGTTTAATAAAATATTTACAGAGTCCTATGAGAAAATTGTTTTAATCTATTGTTTCATTTCAGCTTAAGTCTGCCACTTTAAGGTGAAAGAGCTAGTTTCTTCTTCATCAGAGGTATTTCAAAGGTGTTGCCCTTCATTCTGCAGGTGCTTGTGGCGGGTTCCTGAGGACAGGAGAGGTGCCAGCTTTCCTCTTCTCCCCAGGCTGGCCCGAAAGCTATGGTAACAGGGTTGACTGTACATGGCTTATCCAGGCTCCTGACTCTACTGTGGAACTCAACATCCTCTCCATGGACATCGAAGCCCAAAGTACATGCAAATATGATCAACTCGTGATACGAGACGGTGAGAAACATTTATAAACAAAACAAAACAAAAAACTACCAAGTTTCAACCTTGACACACATTTAATGGCATTTGGTTATAATCATACTTGTTTACTGTCTTCATACATTTTGCTTGGAAATTCACAGAAATTGTGGTCAGCGAAGGCGTCAAATACTAGAACTGGCTACAATTCCTGAAGAACTAAGAAAGCTATGAAATTGCCTGTAGCAATATCATCCAGATACTGTCAGGAATAGCATCGATTCTTAAGAGGAGACACTACCTTTGGCGGAAATAATAGTCTGAGTTCCCAGGTGGTGCTGCTTTCTTGTTGAAAGGTTTTGGAAGTGAATCTTGGCATTCTATACCTATGACTTTAAGATTCAAGTGGGAAAAGTATTTATATTGCAATGTATCCCTTTGTCTACCGAATCTCTGGGTAGATGGGTAGAATTAAGGGCTAATATTTTTCATCTTTTCCTCTACATCCAGGTATGGTATTGCTATGCATTGAGTGAGGGATATGAATAATGTTACTATGCAACATATACAAAAGTGTGTTTCACAATTTGCATAGGATTGAGAAGATCAGTGTTTCTCACAGTGTGGTCTCTAGACCAATAGCATCAGCATCACCTGAGAACATGTTAGAAATGCAAATTTTCAGCTCCAGCCCAGACCTACTAAACTAATAACTCTCAGGCTGAGTCCCAGATCTGTGATTTAAAAGGACCTCCAAGCAGGGCCAAGATTAGGGCGGGATCAGGCAAAGAGCCGAGTGAGAACCTGTCTCTATTTAAAACTTCAGTATTGTGTTCGTGTTACATTAAATTCAGTTTTTGAGATGTTGCACTGAAATATTACTTACCTTGATTTTGGAGATCTCAGGCACCTCCTTAGAGTTTGCTCCGATGTGAGGTGCTTCTCTTACCAGACTCTGGTCCCTGCCTCCAGGTCGTTCCCATGGTGTCTTTGAGAACCAGCCCTCTACTCTGCACCATAGATACAGCACAACCTCACATGCCCACCTAGACAGCAGGTCACATAACTAGTGAAATGTCAAACTGCAGAACATGATTAACGGAGCAGCGATTAGGCAAGCAGTCTCAGTATTATGGATCTCATTTTTCAAGAGATGCGAGAAATGTAGAATTTTCTATGAATTTCTCAAATGTTAAATTTTGACAATTAATGAAAAATGCTTCAGAGAATTTCTTTTTTTTTTTTTCTTTTTTTTTTTTGGATCAAACACGTGTTTGCTTTTGGCCCACCTGTTGCTAATGTGCAAGCTCTTGGTCCCCTTATCCCCTCAACCCCAGACTAAGTATGGTGAGAAAAATCAAATGGCAGAGGAGCTTTATTTTCTCTCTGTGGAGGATGGACCCTAAGTAAAGACTCAAATCAATCATACAAGGATGATGAGATGATAAACTGTAACTTTCCTCCCTTTTCTCAACAATCAGCTTTCTGCACATTGCCCAGAGGAACTGTCCCCTTTCCTCACATCAAGGCGTTCCTGTGGATATTAAAATTTTATATTTATCAGTCAATAAAATTCATGTGTTCTTGCACACATATTCTGAATGTTCTGAACCCAGTAGAAGCTTTAAAAATATCTTTGGTAGGTAACTGCAAAAATGGGTAAATTATAGTTATTTTTTTAAAAATCACTTTTATTGAGTTGCTTTTTGTTCCACCAGTCACTTTTCTTGGAAGCCTCAAACCTAGCGAGCTGTCCTTTCCTCCTTCTGTGTGATCTTTCACAGATTACTAAATGGCTCAACGTCTGTTCTATCATCTCTGAGAGAGAGACAAAAATCCACCTCATGGGGCTGTTGTGAGGATCGGGGAAAGTAATGAATACAAAATTTTCTAGCAAAAGTCCTGGCCTTTGGTAGATGGGAAATTTGACATAGTTTAATTTAGATTTCAGTTTACTTTGATAGAGATATTTCTAAGAGAGATTTTTATCATATGCTATTTATAGAATGAAAGTGTTCTTGCTGGGACATAGAGCTACTTCAGAGAGCTCAACAAATTGGAGTACAAGCCAAAACAATTACACAATTTTCAATTTGTTACATGACCTATCCCTATAAATTCCTTTTTATTCACTAACAATGTGAGTACGTGCCCAATTGATTCATTCTTTCCTCATTTGCCTGTTTTCTCATTCAAGAAATAGTTATTGAATGCCTATTCTGTTTTAATTTTGGGGTTTTTTTTGCATTTGCACTTTTAGTGGTAATATACTTTTAGAATTAAATTTTATTCGTTCTTTGTCCAACCATTTTTGTTTGTTTGTTTGTTTCAGAGTGGCAGGGTCATATAATATTCTGAAGCAAATATCTGGAGCCAATTGGCCATAAGCAATGATGCTTGGCCAGTTGTCATAGCCTCTTGGCCCTAGGGTGGCTGTGGACATCCCTGAGCCACCCTAGTGGCTTTCCTTGGGGAGCTGAAATCATCCTCCCACCTGCTTATTAATTTTGCAGAGTTGTCCTGTTTCAAAATTGAGTTTTTTCCAGACCATGTTCCAACAAATTTTGCATACCAAAGATTTCCAGAAACTTGAGATCCTATGAAACTACTCTGGGCCTAAAAAAAAAGAAGGAAAGAAGGAAGAGAGGGAGGGAGGAAGGAAAAAAAAAAGAGAGAAGAGAAAAAAATTATATCAAAAATCAGTAATCTTTTTATTTTTAGATCTGACTTTAAGATTTTAACTATTATTTAATAGCATAGTTTGAGCTTCTGGAGTTAATTGTCCAAGCTTTCAAACCCCTGTTGACTTCTGTGCTCTATGGTGTTAGGCAAATTATATATCCCCCTAAAGACTGTTTCTTATTCCAAAATGGGGGTAATAGTGATACGTACCAAAAATGTTATTGTGAAGATAAAATCAGGTACTACATTTAAAGCACTCACAATGGCAATAGTAACTGCTCAGTAAACATCAGCTACCAGCAATCTCGGTGCTGCAGCATCCACATCTCTAAAGTGAGGATGTTGGAGTAGAGAGAGAATCACCGAATTCCCTTCTAGCCCCACTCCTTCACTGTTCTTTGACTCGCCACTTCTTTCTCTTTAAAAATCAGGTTCATCCCTGTTGCAATTCATATGCTGAGGTTATGGAAAGCTCTAGAAATAGTGCACTATTTATTATGGATACTGGGGAAGGAACATTGTGGTTATTGGGTTATTTACCAAATCAGTTAGTTAATCGGTGAGTAATTATTTAGAGATAAGCATTGTTTCATCAGTCTGGGTGAAGTTTAGAAATCAAAATCAGTAAACCCTCCCCAGTCTCACTGAGAGATAAAACATACACACATGAAATAAACAACAAGATATAATAACTTCAGAATTTGATGATACAGATAAATAAAGAATATGTCAGTGAAAACAATTTGGGGTAAAATATGTAGCAAAATAGCATAGTGAAGAAAAATGCAAAAGGCGTTAGAGATAAAATTTTGAACTGTAAAAAATTTGAAAGTTTCCAGAGGTCAAAAAGCCTCTAAAGAAGGCCTTTTCAAGCATTTGTATTTGTAGGGTTATACACCTTTACATTTGTAATTACAGAAAATCACTGGTTTTCTGCAGTAGTTAATAATGACTAAGCTGGTCTCAAAAAGGATTCATTCTGCTTGTTGAAAGGACAAATTTCCTCATGTCTCATATTCTTTTTTGCTTATTTATTTTTTTTTAATAAACTTGAAATTCATTACCTCTCTGCCTTAGGAAAAAAATAATGTCTTTTCCCTTCCAAGAAATGTAAATTGGTTATCATCTCCTTTGCCTCCTTCTGGCTTTGTCTGGGACATTTGTTTTGACTGAAACTTATGTCCAAGAGAACCTAAGGGGAAAAGGGCCGTGGGGTGCCCGAGCTGTCCTTTGTGATTCTGGAAGAGCACACTTGCTAAATCCATTTGTTTCTCATCCTCCACACATGGACATAAATGTGTTCTTTTAACAGCAAAACAAATAAACAACAACAAACAAATGAAAGTGAAAACAAGGAATCCAAAAGCCACCTCTAGAGCTGAAGGCACACATCTCAGCAAATGACCTATAGCGTTAGTATAGAATCTGAGGCTGAAGAACCACCCTTTTTTCTCTTTTTTGATACTTGACATCAGCAGTCAGAATAATTTAGATTATTCTCACACACAGCAGCAGCACTGGTCCACAAACACTTCCTAATCCAACGGACTCTGATTTTGAGTTTTAGTGCCAGGAAGAAATGTCAGCCAATTTTTAGAAAGATACCGGAAACTGTCAAAGAAGTCTTTATCAGCACAGGTAAAGAAGAAGGCAGGAGGCACCATTGCAAACTGGAGCCAGAATGATGTAGCCCCTCGAGTGTCCTTGCGTTTGAGAACCCCATTATGACCTAAGGATGGTGTCATTTTGAGAAAAATATGTGATCCGCTCTGGCTGGATTGCAAATGATGGTGGCAGAGAGTCTGAAGACCTCATATTTTCATGCTGATGTTTCCTTTCTTTGGTCCTAGGAGACAATAACGTGGCCCAGCAGCTAGCTGTTCTCTGTGGCAGAGAGCTCCCAGGACCCATCCGGTCCACTGGAGAGTACATGTGGATCCGGTTCACCTCGGACTTCAGTATAACCAGGGCGGGCTTTAATGCATCCTTTCACAAGAGTAATGTGTCCTAAGAGTTTGTTTTAATCCATTTTGTCTCATCTCATTTCATCTCATATAACTCTTACTCACTCCCTAGTAAACCCTGCTCATTCTTCCATGTGAGGGCACAGGTTTATTATGTCACAGCACACGGGTCTCTGCCCGGCCTCTAGATGGCTAGCTTTATATCAGATTCTGCGTCCTGAGCCAAAAAACTGTGGCCGAGTTGTAAAAGAGGATCCCTTGCCTGCAGGTCTCTGGGTGGGGTATCTTCCCTCCATAGAGGCACAAGAGTAAAATCTTTAAAACCATTTTTCAGCCTAGCTGCAGGCTGGAACTAAGAGATAGCACGAAGCCATAATACATCAAAGGAGCAATAAGTCAGAGTTATCATCAGTCTAAGAAATAACCAGTCAAATTAATACAGAAGATACCTTCATAAATCCCTTGGTTGAAATAATTCATTTGAAGGGTGGCAGGTAGAGTTTGCTGCTCTAGAAATATGAATTCTATGAGTCAGAGAATGTGCACAGTATATGGCAGGCTATCATGTGTATTCTCATTGAGACAAAATTTGACAAAACGTGAAGTCCAATAATAATTTTCAATCCAAACTAGATTAAAGATCAAGAAGTAGTCCATGGAATATGGAATATCAAAAGATTCATGTTTTTAACCGAAAAACATTATTTTAAAGTAGCTTATCAATATAGACTTTAAAAACTAATAATTTCTCCACTATTTTGTCTGCCTTTTATGGACTAGGGAGCAACTGAAGATAAATTGTCTTCCTCACAGTCAAGGGAGTCAGGCTGCAGAGTGGTTTAAGAGAATGGGCTTTTGGAGTTAGACCTAAGATGAATTTCTACCTCTGCGATGTAACTAGTTGTGTGCACTCTCTACACTCACTCACTGATAAGCTGTGTGGTCCCTGACAGCTGGCAAATTGATGGCTGCTCCATCCACAGTCTCCCCTCAACTCCCAACCTCTCTCTCCCTGTCGCGATACATTCTCATGTATGTACGTATGTATGACAGCTCGGGATATATAAAGTCACCATGTGGAAGACTGAACTCTTGACTCCCTCACCAGCTTTCTCCCTCACCAGCTTTCCCAGGCCACACTCTTCCCGATTTTAGTACATGGAAAGTACATTCTTCCAGTTAAGCCAAAAAGCTTGGCATCATTCCCTATTCTTCTTTCCTCACTGCATAAATCCTAATCGTCGACAAATCAGAATGGTTCTACCCTCACGGTGGTATAGATTCTAACCACTTCTCGCCATTTCTACCCTACCATCCTAGTCCAGGCATCTGTCATCTCTCCTGGGCACCCGGTTCTGCTTTTCCCCCTCGATTCTGCCTTCCACTTACAGTCTAAGTGTTGCGGATAGAGTGATTCTTTTAAAATTTAAGTCAGATCATGCCTTTCTGTTGCTCAAAACCCTTCAATGTCTTCCTCTTCTTATTAAAAATAAGTCCTTTTAGTTTCCTACGTGATCTACCCTGCTACCTCTTGGATCTCTTATTCTGCTTCATCCATTCTGACTTCCGTGATCTACCACTAACACAGCGAGCTTTTTCACCAACTGTTTTCTAGACTGGAATGCTCTTCTCTCACAAAGCTCTACGGCTCAATCTTTCATTTCATTCAGATCTTGCTCAGATGTTACCCCCACAACATGGCCTTCTCTAACTTCCTCACACAATATTGTACCACTGTCCCTCTCCTCATTCATTTTACTTGCTAGAACTTATCACCATGTCATACATGTGTTTATTGTATGTCTTACATCTATGACATAATCTCTGTGATAGTTAGTAACTTGTCTCTACTGTTTACTTCTCTATCCTTATCCTGTTGTAAATGTTATTTCATGAGTTTCTTTCCTTTTTCAATTAAAAAAAAATTTAATTTTTTTTTGTTTCTTCTTGGGAAGGTTGTGGTGGATACTTGCATGCAGACAGAGGGATTATCACATCACCCAGGTATCTGGAGACCTACCCTCCTAACCTCAACTGTTCTTGGCACGTCCTGGTTCAGAGAGGTCTGGTCATTGCCGTCCATTTTGAACAGCCCTTCCAGATTCCAAATACAGACTCCTCTTGTAACCAGGGGGATTACGTGATGGTAAGTCTCATGTGCTGCCTTTTCTAATTACTTTTTCTGCAGGATTCATTCAGAAAACAAAGTGATGAGTTTTCTTTCCTGTGTCATAAATCAATAGAACAGTTGTATTCCATCTTTATCGGCATGAAAGAATTTGTTTCATTTTAATTTGTGTTTACAGCTAAAAAATGGACCTGATATCTATTCTCCACCCTTGGGACCCCATGGAGGAAATGGTCATTTCTGTGGCAGTCGTCCTTCATCCACTCTGTTCACCTCAGATAATCAAATGCTCGTTCAGTTTATTTCTGATGACAGTAATGGAGGGCAAGGATTTAAGATCAAATATGAGGCAAAGAGCTTAGGTAAGTATTTTCACTGAGAATAATATATGTACTTTTCCTGAAATTGCTTGGTCTTATTTAAATAGATGTGAGAAAAAATACATAAAGTTTTCTTTTCTGAACTAAGAGTAATAATCTTAATATTAATAATAATGCTACCTATTAGCAAGTACTTAGTTGATGCTTGACACATTCAATATCTCCTCGTGATTACTTTTTAAAGGAAAGTATCACTGTCCCCATTCTACAGAAAGGTAAAATGAGGCCTAGATTTTTCCAAGGTCACATAGCAAGAGAATGAACACAGTAAAATTCTCCATGTGTATAAGTTGAATTGATGATCTTAAGTGGTCCCCTGAAATTTCTTAGATTATAAAATGTCTAATTATAAGTGACATTCAGTTATGGAAACATTGTAAGAATGATAATTACATTGTTTTGTAATCATTTGTACGTTTCCTTTTACATGAGCACATAATCCTCTGATTCTATTATTACCCATTTAATTATATATTGCAGTAATGATCTTTACTTAAGTACCTTTATTTAATTATACTTGATTATAATTATATTTAATACTACTGTAATGATTTGATTTTTGTGACATTTAATTTTATATGATTAATTGAATAAATAAGTACATAAGCAGAGCTTCAAACAAGGGAGTGGTGTCGGTAGAGAGCTTGTCTTCGCTTGACCTGCCAGTGGATTTCAGGATGATACTACAATCTCGATCTCTCGATCCTGAATATGTTTCAAAATACATATTAATCTATGAAGCCGTATGTTTTATTGCACATTCTCCAAAATATGAGAATTTAAAGTAGCATAATATCTTCATTTTGGGAAAGGAGGAGAAGTAAGTCTCCATCAACTGACACGGAGAATCATCTAATAGCTCGAGTGGGTTCCATGACCATGGGGAGTGTGCTTCCGTCACTCCCCAGGACACGTGGCTCTGGCTATTGAAAGGGGCCTCTAGAGATACAGCTCGGGGACACTGGTGCCATTCCAGCACAGGCCAGGGGTTTCCTGTTCCTCCCTGTCTCCACAGCGCATGTCAGATGCCACCCTCAGCCAGCTCTACACTCCCATCTTTTCCCAGGCTAGACTCAGTCTTGGATTATATTTTTAAAGTCAACATTTAGGGGAATTCTAGTACACTAGGGGTCTATTTGCAAACAATATTGCTCTTTTATTCCTTTGTAGACCCTCTATTCATGCAAGAATGGCATGGCCAATGCCTTCTTCCCATCTTCTACCCTTAATATTGAACCGGAAGGTCTTTTGATTGCAAAACCTATTGCTGGGCAACCCCAATAACATGATCACTCTCATTTCTCCCAACTTTCTAATTTAGCCATTTCCCCTGACTACAGTCAGCCCCCTACTTGCCCCATCTATCTGCCACAACTACTTCAACGCCACTGCCATTTCTCAGCCTTTAACATGTGGTATTTGGGGAACAGCTT